GGGCGCAGCACTGAGGGTTGCGATCCCGTTGCTGGTGCCGGTCCGGTGCGGGCACGACACTGAGGGTTGCGATCCGTTGCCGGTCACGAAAAAAGACAAAAAGGAAAAAAAAAAAAATTTTTTTCCCAACAAATAAATCAACTTTAATAGATATTATTTTGTATTTATATAGTGCCTTCTTCAAGAACCTTACGTGCTTTATAGACATTATCTCTAATTAATTCCCACAGCAAACTTGTTAGGTAGGTATTACTCCCATTTTACAAAACAGGGAGATTTAAGCACAAAGAGGTTAAGTGACTTGCCCAAGTTCACACAGTTAAATTCATTGAAGAGCCAGGACCTGAGTCCCTTAGCCTCCCATCTGCCAGCCAAATATGCCACAAGACAATCTTTAATGAAAAGAATCTTTAAAGAAAGTATCAACAGTAATATGTTATGAAAATAAGGTTTTCTGACTGCCATCAATGAAAGAAACTCTATACTGATGGTTAGAGGCCACAAGAAAAACAGTTTTTCTTTTTATTCTGCATAAGTGTCCTTAAACTCAAGAACCGTTTAGTTTATCTTTGATGACTGCTTCTCTTGCATTTGTTTCTCTCTTTTAGAAGCAAACTTCTGAAAATAATTTACTGCAAGAGGTTATCTGTCATTCTCATTGGTATATAAATGACATAGCTTCTAAGAAAGAGAAGCATAAATTTAGGAGAGAACATGCAAAGGAACAGGATCAAATGAAAAGATGAATTGCAAGAAAACTTCAGTGCAGTTAGCAAAATTAATCTCCACATTGGAAGCAATAAACTGGAATTGACACCACAGAAAGTCAAATCATTAGTGCCGAGGTTAACATTTACGTAATTGCCCAGAATGCAGAGGAAGAGAATGAGTTTTGATTTTAAATGCAAACATATGACTATTATGGACCACAGAAGAGAAAGACAATGTGTAGGAACTTATAGCACATGCAGACCACTTTTTTTTTTTTCTTTCTCCTGAGGCTCATCTCAGCCTCAGAGCTGGCCTCTGACAACCTCTCCAGGCTTTGACAGTTCACCCTTGCTTTTTGCACTTCATTACTTCTCTGTTCATATAGCTGTTTCTTGTCAGTATGTTTTCATTCTAGCTCCTGCTTTCTAGCTCCTCTTTTGTGGACTCTCTTACTCAACTTGTAAGGCTTAGTTCACATGAAGCCTTCTTTAGAAAGCCATTGTCCTCTGTCCTGTACCTTAACCTGATAATTCTTAACCAGGATAATATTACTCTCAGGAAACATTTGGTAGTGCCTGGAGACATTTATGATTGCCACAACTTGGGGGGTTGCTATATTGGCTTCTAGGTGGTAGAGGTCAGGGATGTTGCTACATATCCTACAATGTACAGGACAGCCCTGCACAACCAGGAATTACCTGGTCCAAAATGTCAGTAGTGCTGAGATTGAGAAACCCTACCTTCACTGTTAGTAATCCTGTCCTCCTCAGCTTTCAAATTTAGTGCTGTCATGGATACAAGAGAAACAGAAGATGTGGCTTCTGCCCTTAACCACTTAAGGTTTTATTGGTGATAATGAAACATTTAAGTAAGGAGAATAGTATCAAAATGACTGATGTAAAAAGCAAGTTCTCTGGGTCCATGTCCTCCAAATTGTGTATATGAGCTTAGGGGGTACATAAGATAGTCCATTGGAGATGAGAGAAGACATTAGACTCTTTCTTCATATTTACATTTTATCTTAGGAGAGAGAGTAAAGCTGAATATCAGGAAATCTTCATATTCATTAATGTGGGAGGGAAGTAGCACAATTACTGGTGATACCTTCACTCATTATGTGCTTTCAGAGCATTTTGATGTATTAAATATACATGCTATGGGATGTCAGTGATTTAATTTTTTCAAAGTGTCAATGTGTTAGAATGTTTATAAAACTTCTGTAATACATTAGGAAATGATTGTGAAAATCTTTTGTATTGCAGAGGTTCACCAATCATTTCAAAAGCTGTCAAACTCTATGATGAGTTAAGCATTTTTCTTTTATAAAAAGATGAGTGTTCCAAATTTTCAGACCTTTCCTTTTTTAGGACAACAGGCTGTCAGTGTCATGCTAATGAGCAAATGGTTTTTTTTTGTTTTTCTTTTTAAAACACTCTTGTACTTTGCCTTTCAAAACAAAACGTGACATTTTAATAAGTAAGAAAGCAAATGCTTTTCAGAGGAAAGTTGTGTTGTAGAGAGAATGTGCAGAAAAAGGCAGATTGGAATGTTTCATCATTATGATTTTTTTTTCCCCCAAGATTAGTTTAAATGTGTGGTCCGTGTAAGTATTTGCTTTCATCATGGTTTTCATCATCATTATCACCTGCACTCTTGAAAATACTGGCAATAATATTCAAGCTAGTTTAAAACTATTTCAAAGAGTTTTAGTATCTGTTAAAAATATAAAACAACATATACAACTATACAGACCCATGTGGTTAGATTTTGGATCTGTAACCTTTGCCTTTCCATCGATTAAGAATTGGGACTGCTGTAAGCATTTTGATGGGCGGGACAATACTGAAACAGTATTTGGCTCTCACTCCTGTACACCTTCCCTGAAAAGACTGTAGGGAAAAGGAGAAAGGATGTGAGTAGTTCATACACTCGCTGCCATTGATTCTGCTGTCCTTGTCACTTTGTTTTCAGCATTTAGCACAGAATCTCTTTCAGCAATAACTTCCTTTTAAGCGTATAGTAGTTCCTCCGTTTGTCCCCCAAAGTTGTGTGAATACTTTTGCTTATTACACAATTTCCAAAATTCAGGAAAGCCTCTTTCCTTTTTAGACTTAAATTTGCATCTGTAGCTTGGAAGTTTGAATGTTTTTCGTGTAAAAAACTGGTAGCTCTGTTTCCTGGAGTGAGTGATATCTTTTCAGAGCTCATCTGTAGTGGCTAAGATATATGTGTGTATACTCTAAAAAGTGTGCGTACTTGATATACTAGTGCAGTGGGAGCAGAAAATGTACTCCAGGTGATCATTGTATGAATTTTGCTAAGAGTGAATATAATATATCTTCTGATAAATAGCTAGAATAAGGAGCTGCTTGTAATCAAAATTTTAATCCAAATTATCTGGTAGGATAAGTTCTATTTTGAGACAGGTCAAATAATAAAATGTAGATGTCTGTGTATATATATATATATATCCTTAAAAGAATTTTTGAATATCTACTAAAAGAATTGGTCTTTTTACTAACTAGATCTGTCATTTATTTATGTTTTTGAAACTGGTCATATGGTTTTTTCTCAGAAATTCTTTCAGTATAGAAGTGTGAATTTGAAAATGAAAGTCTTACAACAGTTATCCCAAATCCAGGGATATCTCTGTAACTGTTTAATCTGTTATATTTAAAGGGAGGAAAGTATTTGATTCTGTATAACTAAGTTTAGAAGAAAAATAGGACTTATCAGGCCTACTTGCTCTTAATTTTCTATATTAATTGTCTAATAGATGTTGTATCTCTGAGTACATATCCAACTTGAAAAGTAAAACCAAGCTTATTTTTGATGTTTACCAAGCTAATCTAGATTAGTAATACTAGTTTCTCTGTTGAGAAGAATTTTTTGTGTTTTAAATCATTTAGAATAACCTATAGACACATTTCTGACTACTGTAATATTAGACATTCTAGTCAGTGCCTCAGGTTAGGTTAATACAGTACTTTCCTTCAAACATTATTTGATTCAGGGTTAGAATCTAATTTTAGTTATTTTCAAATCTTAACATTTTTAGAACTATAGTTTTTTTGTTTTTGTTTTTTGAGATGACTGGTAAGGAGATCTTAACCCTTGACTTGGTATTGTCAGCACCATGCTCTCCCAAGTGAGCTAACCGGCCATCCCTATATTGGGATCCGAACCCATGGCCTTGGTGTTATCAGCACCACACTCTTCCAAGTGAGCCATGGGCTGGCCCTTGGAACTATAGTTTTGAAAATAGGAAATGTTAACTTAGAAAATCCAGTTTAAAACATATTTGATTTTTAAAATTTTGACTGATCTATCCTCTTTTATTTTTCTTTACATATTTTCCTTAGATGTATTTAAACCCTTTGACTATAGGTTCAAAATTCTGTTTTATTCTGAAACCTTGAAGTTCATCCTTTACTGACTATGATTCATCTTTCTTTCATACCTAGGAAGATACTCCTGATATGCACTTCTTTTCAGAAATGAAAGTTTGAGTTTGTCCATCTTTGGTCAGATTTTCTTTGTTCCTGTGTAATCTTCAAAGTTATGGAAGGAAGCAGGATTTAAGTTATACAAACGTTATTTTCACCCCATTTGCCAGTTCTCTTTTTTGGTTCTTTCCTCAGTTTTCTTGTCCTTTTAAACCCTAAATATTAAAATCACAAAGAATAGTGAAATCTAATTATTGAACATTTGTTTTCTTCAGATGTTTTATAAAATCATGAAATAGTAGAGGTGAAAGTACAGTTGGGTTCCACATCCATGGATTCAGCCAACCTCACATTGAAAATACTCAGGGAAAAAAAATCCATGAAATTCCAAAAAGAAAACTCAAATTTGCCATGCACTGAGTACTACGTTAAATCCGTGAGAGTAAAGTGATGTATAGGCATTGTATTACATACTATAAGTAATCTAGAGATGATTTGAAGTATGTGAGAGGATGTGCATAGTTTATGTGCAAATAGTACACCATTTTGTATAAGGGACTTGAGTATCTGCGGATTTTGGTATCCTGAGAAGGTCCTGGAACCAATCTCTCACAGATACTGAAGGATGACTGTAATCTTAGAGATTACCTAATTTTTATGAATTATAAAAAGTTATTTTTATTAGTTATATCTTGCATTGTAAATAATTTTAAATGGCTTTTGGGGGGGTCTTGAGTTTAGGCTTTTTATCTAGAAACTCGGGTTGCATTGTGCTTCACTTTTTGTCTTAATCATGAGGTAAAATAGACATAATCTCTTCGGATTTTACTTTCAGGTCTCACAAATATGATTCTTGAAAACAGTTTGGTTTAAAATAACTTCAAGCTGGCTGGTTTGCTCAGTTGGCAGAGTGGTGTTATAACACCAAGGTCAAGGGTTTAGATCCCAGTATCGGCCAGCTGCCAAAAATTAAAAAATAACTTCAGTATTTGAATGCTGGGTTTTTTTTCTTTCAGATTAGAAAATGCTTTTTATGAACATGCACAGACTTACTATTACACTGAGATCAGAAGAGTGAAATCCCATAAAGAATTTTTGAATAAAACAACACACCAGGTACGTGTTTTTTGAAATAATAGAAGCATTCTAGAGCAGATTATCCATTATTGATTATTTTGAGGCAATTATTACATGTCTTTATACTTTGATGTTTTAAATGACTTTAGTACTTCTAAAGTTTTATAAAGCTTTTAAAAACTACTTCATTTTTAAATTAAAATCTTTGCTCTTAAAATTATTATTTTTTGTTTATTTTTTGTTTTTTGTTTTGTTTGGTCTTAAAATGAAATTTTATTAATATTATTTTTTACATTCTATGATGTTGTTGCAGAGCAGTTGGGAGGGAGGGGGAGAGGGGACAGGGGAAGGGAACGGGATGGAAGAAAGAGGGAGGAGGAGGGGTGGGATTGAGGCCTGTGGCACCCCCTCATTCCCACAGGGAAGACCAGGGTGCTTCCAGCGGTGCCTTGGTCATTGCTGGGCTGGGTGCAGATGTCAGCGGGGTGTGGAAAAGCTCTCACCCCCCAACCGTCCCAGCTAGGGAACCCAGGGCCCTTCTTGCTGCGGCTTGGTGGTCATCACTGGGCTGGCTGCACGTGTGGGGGGATGGGGAGCATGCCTGAGGTGCTCTTAAAATTATTAAGTACAAAGTTATTAAGGTTTTTATGGCCTTCTTAACTATATCCTTGTTTGTTGGAATAATTTTTGAGTTTTAATTTTGAATATTTTCCTTTATACTCTTATTTCTCTGTGAAGTAAACATTACTATAATTTTCACATTTTAAATAGAATATGTATAATGATAATGATTTTTTTCTATCCTTTTTTAGCTTTTATTTGTTAGACATCAGTTCAAAATAGCCTTCTTCAGTGAGTTGAAACAAGATACACAAAATGCTCTGAAGTAAGTTTCTAACAGTTTTCAAGCTAAATATTTTTTATCTTTATGTTAACAATTACGTATTAATGGCAATTTCTGAATCTCATCCAAACTTCAATTTATTTTAAAATGTTGGGGCTGGCCAGTTAGCTCAGTTGGTTAGAGTGTGGTGCTGATAACACCAGGGTCCGGGGTTTGATCCCTGTACCAGACAGACAGACAGACACACACACACAGACACACACACACAGACACACACACACACACACACTTTTTATGTTGGTTTGGTTCAGCTGTTTAATATTTACATTAGTTTGTCCAGAGATAAATAGAATATGATATTTTGGGTTTTTAAAAAAATTTCTATCTTTTTATTGGAAGTAAATTTTATAGTATCATAAAGCTTTCTGGTCTGCTTAATTAAATTTCATGATCTAAAGAAATATATTAAAATTTTTCTCATCTTCTTGACTATTTTTTATTTGTATATTCAGGAAAATACTTGTGTTAATAGACTGATTTCTAAAGTATAATATGCATTAAACATTATCTAAATCAGACTGGATTTTTTTAAAGTTTATAGTACTTTTTATTCAATTCAACTGTGATTTTCTTTTTAATTTTTGGTTTTTTTAGTTTGCGATGCGTGTCAGTACCATCATTTTCCATTTGAAGGCTCTTCTTAGAGCCTTGAAGATTAGTTGCAGATGTGTTGCCAGTGGTTAAGCATTTTATTCCTTTGCTTTTACCAAGTACAAATTAATAAAATATGACCTCTTTGTAGCTTTAACTCAGTTTCTGAAGATTGATAGTAGCAGTATGACAAAGGGATAGAAACAGCTATTTATCCTAAAATTGAGGAGAGGAAGAAAAACAGAAGTAAATAGAAATAATTCTGTTATTCACAGGAATATTGCAGAAATGTCATATTTTTGTTGTTGAGGTGCTAAGCACCAAATTGTGTTCTCTGAATCACAATGACTTCATAGAATTATAACTGGCTTTAATGTAGTTCATTTTTATCGATGGTATTAGTTAAAAACCTTTCATTTCCAGCTCTGTTCATAAATAATTCTGGAAAGAGAGAAATTTACCTGGAGAAGTTAAGAATGAACTTTTTTCTGTGCAGAAGGCTGTTTTGAGGTTTTTATCATTACCTTTCACTTCAGGATAGGTCCCATTCTAAGGATGTTTTTCTGTACTTTCCAGTCTGTACGTGAGACCAGTGATATCCACTTACCTTGTAGAGGAACTTTGGGCTAAAAAGTTGACCTGTGTGCTCTGTGTTGATGTCACCTTT